ATATATATATATATATATATATATATATAATATTCAAATACAAACTTACAAAAACATTTTAATCCTGTTTCTGTACTAACTCATTAAAAGCTATCTGTGGTTAATTTGCACATGACTTAGAAGTTAAAGACTAATTCTAGTTAAAGCTCTCTAGTATTTATCTGATGCAATCATCCAAAGCTTCTATTAATGGTCACCTAATTCCATCTAACTCAATTAGATTATATTCCAGTATCAAATATGTCACATCCTGAGAAGTTATTTGTCATAACTACTATTTGATAGTTAATACCTTGTTTGGAAATAGATAGCAATCTGGCCTTCAGGATGTTTATCTACAAGATTAGTTAACCATACGAGTTTAGTGACAATTTTATTTTTGGCTTGATTTGTTTCAAACATCTCACAATATTTATTGCATCAGTTTGACCTTCTTACATGTGACCTAAGGTAAAGGGCTATTTTATTAGTGCGATACCTACATGTATATTTAATTGACAAGTTTGTGGCAGCTGATTTGTCATACAGTCTTTTTGTCAGTGAAAGTTAGAATATTTTTTACATTTTTACAAAAAGTTTACTTAAACCAGCTCTTGCTACTCTAAAGAAGATAACATGATATTTGCTGTTCTCAGCCAGATTGTTTTGTTCATAAGTGTTTTATCCTGTTCTCTGCTGTACTTTATCTAATTACCTCCTCCACCGAATATGATGGAGGTTATGTTTTCACCCCTGTGTGTTTGTCACCAAATTTCTTTAAAATGGCTGAATGGATTTTTTGAGAAAAGTTGGTGTACATTTGGACTATGACCTAATTTAGAAGTGATAAGTTTTCGAGGGTCAAGGTCATGAAAATTGAAAAAATTTATATTTGTTAACATGGGGACTGATTTTTCACACAATATAATTCAGTCAAAAATGATTGGATTTGGATGAAACTTGGTTGTGGACTTATGTAGAATATTATTCCTCATTGCCTTGTCAAAAATGGTCCATGCCCATTGATAATGATGGACATGCGGACACATTTTTGTATTTTTTGAGAGCCGAATATGATCAATGGTGTGTGGCAGAGGTATGAGCTCTACTGAGTGCCCCTATATGTTTTTAGTTTTGTTATACATTTACACATCTAAATAAGTTTATATTTCATATCTTAGTGAAATGGATAAATGTAACCATTTATTACAACATATAAGAAAAAAAGTTATCATTGTTAGAAACAAAAAGCATCTACAGACATTTGTGGTTTGTGCTAGAAAATTAAAACTAAGAATTCTCAAAATCAAATGACAGTTGGATCAGTTTTAGTGTTATTTACTTTATCTGGTATAATCTTGTGTCTTCATTAACCTTTGTGTAACTTTTAGATGAAATTGTGGATTAATCAACTTACTGTTAGGATACTGGAATATAAATCATTATCAGACATTACTATGATACGTTGGCCGGGTGGTTAGGGAGCCTGACTTGCAATCTGTGGGTCGGGGGTTCAAATCCCATCCCACCAAAAATTCTCACCCTTTCAGCTGTGGGGGCATTATAATGTGATGGTCAATCCCACTATTTGCTGGTAAAAGAGTAGCCCAAGAGTTGGCGGTGGATGGAGATGATTAGCTGCCTTCCCACTAGTCTTTCAGTGCTAAATTAGGGATGGCTAGAGCAGATAGCCCTCGTGTAGCTTTGTGCGAAATTCAAAAACAAAATAAACTATGATACATAAGTGGACAGAATTAAGAAGTCATTAATTTGCTTTTACATGACTTAAATACATATTTTAGGGAAGAAAAGATTTCAAGTTGCACATAATACTTAGCAGGTGTACAAATTAATTTATTGTGCGACATTCAGTTGAACCTGCATTGTGTTACCAACTCACTATTTATACTGGAGTGTTGGTTAATTCTAGAAATATTCCTGAGAATATATCAGAAGATCTCTCTTTGTAAAAACATTTGTAATTGTTTATCTGTCCTTTAAAATTGTTATGTTCTTGTAGTTATTATTACGGTTTATATCTTTGTCACAGAGAATGGACTGAAGGCAAGACAATTGTGTTCGACGATTCCTTTGAGCACGAAGTTTGGCACAACGGTAACCAGTCACGTCTTGTGCTGATTGTAGATTTCTGGCATCCAGAGTTAACAGCGCACCAGAAGCGTACTTTGACTCCCATCTGAATACGACACTTTGAGTGCCTTATAATTTCAGTGTGGAAATTGAAACTAAATGAAATAGAAGCTAGTGCTTTTTATTTTACTGCCAGCCAAAGCTTTACCCCAATTATTTACTTGTAAAAAGTCATTTAACTCACCTAAGATATTGTAATGATGATATACTCATTCTAATGCTAGTTAGAGTTTACGCTTAAAATATACAATTTATTTGACATGTTATTAAAGACAATTTTTAATTTAATAAAAATTTTTGTTGTTTTTGAAATGGGGGTAGTAGAATAAGAAATGAATAATCCTGGTTATCAACACAAACTATTTTTGTTAGAGTAAATGAAAAGTGATTTAAAACAAATGTTTACTTTCAAGATCTCAAGGTATGTGGTTTAGCATCCAAATCTATAGAGCATATAATTTATAGAAACCTTTATTTTCTTTGATGTTTTGTTTGTCAACTCGTAAGATACAGAATACAAAATATTATTAGTACATGCAAGTGTGTATTTTAGGCTGTATAGAAAATATCCGAGATACAACGAAATAAATATTACAGAGTATATTCAATTTTAACAAAAGTAGTATTTGACTCGGTCCGTGAATTTTTAAGGTGTCGAGTTGTGTTTAAAAAAATAAGGTAGCTTCTTGTTAAAATTGTATTTGTATATCCTGTGTTGTTGTAATTTGTATGTGATGTTGTGCTAGAACATGTTTTTTAATAGTTTTTATAGTCAGTCATAATTACCATCCTATAGTAGTCATTTGATTTGTAAAAGTTTATTTATTTATTAAAATTTTTGTGTATCCAAGTTAAAACAGGTGCAGCTTTTTAGAAATCAAGTTAATAGGTTTGTGAATGACGTGAGGTCATATGTATGTTATGGAATTTATCAGAGTAACAAGTATTTATGTTTTGGAATTTCTAACTCTTAAAAAGAAAAAAAAATTCATATGAATACATCATTCTTTCAATGAGATAGTATCGTCACTGTGTCTCATGGTATATTTTGTATCCCAGAACCAGTTGGTCAAATATTACTGTTTTGGTTCATAAAATTGTATCTTGAAAGGTATTACTTATTTTTAGTTTGTTCTAGTAGAATATAGGAAAAAAAGATTTATATAAAACTTAAGTTAAACTATTGCAGGGGTCTTACAAATGTGAATACTTACAATGCAATAGAACTTTCTGAATATATAAAAAAATTAAATTCTGTGGAAATCGTTTTTAAATTTAAGAAATTAAGTATATCTTATTCTGTTAGCACTAATTGTTTTAAAGGTTTTGATGTTTTACTTAACTGACTGTTTAAGTGGAAATGAAATCTATATGTGCATCGTAGCTTTCACATGTTCTTCATTAATATCTTTGTTGGTCTTTTTCTTTTAAGCAAATCACATGTAATTAATAAGCTAGAGACTACTGATGTATTGTATCGATTCTTAACTTGTTGTTTAGAATTTACTACTAAATATTTATTTAACTAAAAAACAATCTGTCTCAAAATTAACAGTGAGAATTGAGACTTGGCACTAGACAGAGAACAGATTTCCTGTTGCCAACTGAGCCAGGAAGGTTTTATGAACTATTTTAATTCTTTTATAATTACACTCTTCATTGTTTCTAAAGATGGATTTAACAGTGTTGAAACCTGTAAGCTAAATGCCAACTTCCCTTTCATCGTGGAATGATCCCAAAGTGCAAATCATATTTAAATTTCATTCTTTAAAAATACTTTTTTATAGAGGGAGAGAGATAATGTTTAATAAATTCTCATAATAAAAAAAGAGATACATTTTTTTATTTTTTGTAAATGATTATTTTTGAAAACCAGTTAAAGTATGTCATTATCTTGGTTATTTGAACAAACATAATTTTGTTTTTCCAGGCATGTATAACATTTTGTTAAACCAGCAATTTTTGTTATAATTAGCACAGCTGAAAAACTACTATAAGTGTAAACTGTGATTACTTAAAAAAGTACAATATTTATTTTGGTGCAAACGTTTTTTTAATTAGCCCTCAGAATTTAAACAGTAGAATATAATTAGACCTGTGAAAAGTTAGTTATCAGTTTTTATTATCATATTTTTATGTCAACAAGTGTTTTAATTCTCAAAAGAAAGGCTACTTATTCATAAATAATGTTCTAAAGAAAACAGAGTGAAAATTAGGTAACTTGAGAGTTATGAATACTGCCACATCATGGCAAAAGTGAAAAGTTTCTGAATTAGGAATTCCCTACTACAGAACAAAACATTACAATTATTACTCCAAAGTAGGGTCTGTTGAAAGTTAGTATTTTTTCATCTTGGTGAAAGCGGCACATTGTTCAACAGGTTTCCAGATACAAAAAACATTTAAGAAAAGCCTTTTTATAGCAACAAGTTTAAGCCTAAGTAGTGCAAAGCATTAAAAAAAAAGTAATATAAATAATAATTATGAAATAGGTTTTGGATTTGAACACATCTTCAGTAATGAGAGTTTTGCAAATTAAAGTAATGACCTATTATATTGCTATGAACACACTTAACAGTTTTGCCTCATTAAAATTCTACCCTACCAAATTGCATTTAGTCAAAATAGTCTTTTAAAGGTTTTTATTTAATCATTGGCATTTTTTTTTTTATAAAGAGATATAATGCTTGTCTTCTTTAATAACAATAAAAGTATTAGAACATATAATGTAATGTTTGGATATCGTTGTGGTGAGATGATTCAAAGAAATCATATAATATAGGGAAGTTTGTGTTGAATTTATATGAATTGAAATGATTTGAAAACTTTGTGTAAGTAATTTTTTTATAGGGAAAATAGTACAAGGAAGAATGAGAAATGTAGGAAAACAAAATGTATAAAATATTATTGTTTTTGAATCGCTTGTCAGATGTTTAAATGCGTGTGTGTATTTGTAGTGAGCCTGTATGTCTCCTCTTATATATTATGTTGATTTAAATGTACTGTTTTTATGTTTGTATACTACAAGAGTGACAGTGTCCTGGAAAACTTGACCTGCTCTAGCATTTGGAGCATGTAAGAAATAACTATTGTTGGGACATAACTCAAGCAAATCATTTTTACCCACCCTTTAAACTACTAATCTTGTAAAGCTTGGTTTTCAATGTTATTTGAAAACTAACTTAAGTGTTCTTATTTGAATCATTAGTTGAATTCTTGATCTTTTGAAAGCTTAATTCTGAATTCTTAACATAGTAAGTTGATGATATAAAGTTCATTGTTATGGTTTCTAAGATCTTAATAATGAATTCTTGACATAGTAAGTTGATGGTATCAGGTTTTCTGTTTGGGTTTTTAAGATTTTAATAATGAATTCTTGACATTGTAAGTTGATGATATCAGGTTTTCTGTTTGGGTTTTAAAGATTTTAATAATGAATTCTTGACATAGTAAGTTTATGATATAAGGTTTTTCTGTTTGGGTTTCTAAGATCTTAATAATGAATTCTTGACATAGTAAGTTGATGATATAAAGTACTTTTTTAGGGTTTCTAAGATCTTAATAATGAATTCCTGACATAGTAAGTTGATGATATAAGGTTAATTGTTAGGGTTTCTAAGATCTTAATTCCTGACATAGTGAGTTGATGATATAAGGTTTTCTGTTTGAGTTTCTAAGATCTTAATAATGAATTCCTGACATAGTAAGTTGATGATATAAGGTTTTCTGTTTGAGTTTCTAAGATCTTAATAATGAATTCCTGACATAGTAAGTTGATGATATAAGGTTTTCTGTTTGAGTTTCTAAGATCTTAATAATGAATTCCTGACATAGTAAGTTGATGATATAAGGTTCATTGTTAGAGTTTCTAAGATCTTAATTCCTGACATAGTAAGTTGATGATATAAGGCTCATTGTTAGGGTTTCTAAGATCTTAATTCCTGACATAGTAAGTTGGTGATATAAAGTTCATCGTTAGGGTTTTGTTCTGTACTTCTGCTTTATCATGAAAGTAGTTTTTCTTTCTTTTCTTCTAGTTTGTTACTTGAATGAAAAAAGTAGGTTAACATGAGATAGTTTTATTTGTAGTCACAAGAACTGAATAATTTTTATATTGCGATTCGGTCAATATGAGCATTATGATTGAAACAAAACTGAAAGATTTATGGTTCCTATAGGTGTACTTAAACTTGTCATCTGGGTATGTCCTGAGTCCTTTATAATTAAAGACACGTTCTGATTTTGTCATAGTGCAGCTTTTTAATGTCGATTAGCTATTAGTTTCTTAGAATCATCATATTTAGTGCAGTTACTAAATAAAATAACTTTACCTTCCCTCCTGTTAAGTAAAGGATAACACACTGGTAAGTTTTGAAACATGAAATATTTTTATTAATTATTCCTACTGTGGTTGTAATATCACTCGCTCAATGAAGTATTAAGTGGCAGTAGTTATTTGTTGAGCTTCAACGGACCACATTTCATTCGATCCTTTTGTCAATTCTTTTTACCAGTTCTCTTTCTTTCAATACTTTGTGGAAAGACCTAAATTTATTTCGATTTAGCGATCAAGTGTATCAGAATGAAGAACAAATATATGTATTAAAATGGTGCTATTGGACTGTTGCATTTTTTTTTATTGTATCCAATCTTATCAATAATAAATTCTGATATTTCACACTGTCTTGCTGATTACTGACGTTCATTGTATTATAATAGCTGAAGACACAATGCATAAAAAAAAGTGTTGAATACAAATGCCAGATCGTGGATTTATCTTAATCCTTCTTTTCAAAATTCTCCAGCACATCAGCGGTAAGCTTCGGGGGCTTATGATGTTTAAATCCAGGGTACGATCCATGCAGCTTACAATAACTATTTATAAGAGTTTTTCTCAAAATTCACCTGTGTTCTATTGATCATAGAAGAAACTTCTCTAGTATTATCTCTCATCCGAAATCGTAGAGAAAATCTGTTTAGATCCTTATAAAATTGTTCATGTTAATACGACATGATTAAACGTGAGAATAAAATATTTACAACATTATTTCATGATTGTTTCGGTAGTTTCACACTAAAGAAGCTAGACAGTACATAGAAGTTTCGTTTACTAATCAGCACATTTAAAAAGTTGCCTTTTTGTTGAGAAGCGCTTTAAAGGAAAGTTTTAGGGTAAAGAAATCATTTGGTTTGATAAGCTGTTAATTCATTGCGTGTCAGGCAGGAATAAGTAATTCGTATGTCATTAGGTATAAAGGCAGACCACGAATGAAAAGTATTAAAATGAGTAATATTTAGTAATAATGTTCATCACTTAGTCATTTTCAGAATGTTAATTTTTTTTTAAAGCGCTTTGATAATCCGTGTCACGAAGTTAAAATGAGACAAACTGGCGGAAATTTGAAAAAAAAAAGAGTAGATTGCCAAACTTTTTATATTCTTTGTCGCTGTCTTCATTTGTATGTTTTTTTATATGGTTAAATTTTCTATATACCCGTCTTACTACAGGGTAACAACTGAATGACATTTCTGTGGTAATAAATTTGATATAAAGACTTAATTTTACATCGTGACTTATGTTAAATCACAAGTAATTGATTATGTAGGTTAGTTACACGTAGCCCCCCAGTGGCACAGCGGTATGTCTGCGGACTTGCAACGCTAGAATCCGGGTTTCGATATCCGTGGTGGGCAGATCACAGATAACCCATTGTGTTGCTTTGTGCTTAATCTCAAACAAGCTACACGTAGCGGTTTTAAGTTCATTAGAAAGCCTTTTTATTCAAGTATAAAGTTCCTTTGAATGATAAAACTGAAGAGTGTAACGAGGGACAGTTAATATTCTTTTTTATTTTTCTATAAACCTAGATGTTTTTTATCTCATCTTATAAAAGCAATTGATGAATTATGTCTGTTGTTTGTATTTTATATTGTTTGTTGGCATTTATCATATAATGCATATGAACCCCTGTAAAAGTGTTTTCTTCACGTTATTTCTCTCAGATGAAAAAAAAACACCATGAGTTTTGGACGTGTGTCATCAATTCACTGGTGTTCATAAGGTAACCGAAGCTATTTGGAAATAAAATAGTTTAAATTTTGATTGTTTTATACGAGTTTGATGGATAGCACGTAAAAAAAAAATGTTTGAAGAATTTGTTAAATGAAATTTGCTTAACATATTGTGTGTATTAAATCAACATATTTTTCGTTGTGACTGAAAAATTGTGTTTGGTATTGGTAGGAAATATTTTTAAAAAGTCAAGTTATTTAGTGTTTAAGAACAAAAGTCGTTAATTAAGAACTCTTGGGAAAGTTTATTTTGTAAATTTTGCGAACCTGACGTGACTTTAGCTTTTATAATGATTAAGAAATGCACTTCGCCATCAACAGAAATTGTACAACTTTCTGTGTTTGTGTATGTGATGTCTTGGCGTAGTTATATTTGATTGTAATCGTTTTTGGTTGTGAATTAATCTTACAAGTCTGCACAAATAAAGAGAAAATATTCGATTCTGACTTTCGGTGATTTATTGGTTTAATTCTGCGTCTTTGTGCTTGATTTTCCTTGTATATTAGTATTATAAGCCTAGTTCACTGCAACTTTAAATTTACTGTTTACCTTGTCGTAAAATTCACTTAAAAATAGATCTCGGAAGGTTTTTAAGAAGTCTTCTCTTAATACCAAATAAAGACGATCACAATTCACGCAGACTAGTGCTTAACCCATACACCTGGCTAATGTTTCCTGTAGGAATATTATGTTCATTGCATGTTGCCTGGCTAATGTTTCCTGTAGGAATATTATGTTCATTGCATGTTGCCTGGCTAATGTTTCCTGTAGGAATATTATGTTCATTGCATGTTGCCTGGCTAATGTTTCCTTAGGAATATTGTGTTTATTGAATGTTGCCTGGCTTATGTTTCCTGTAGGAATATTGTGTTTATTGCATGTCGCCTGGTTAATGTTTTCTGAAGGAGTATTGTGTTTATTGCATGTTGCGTAGTTAATGTTTCCCGTAGGAGTATTGTGTTTATTGCATGTTGTCTGGTTAATGTTTCCTGTAGGAATATTGTGTTTATTGCATGTCGCCTGGTTAATGTTTTCTGAAGGAGTATTGTGTTTATTGCATGTTGCTGGTTAATGTTTCCTGTAGGAATATTGTGTTTATTGCATGTTGTCTGGTTAATGTTTTCTGTAGGAGTATTGTGTTTATTGCATGTTACCTAGTTAATGTTTTCTGTAGGAGTATTGTGTCTATTGCATGTTGTCTGGTTAACTGCGTACTACAGCGTTATTTACGCATAGACTTCCTTTGGGCAGACCAAGAACAGCAACCGATATTCACAATGAAGCCACCATATTGGTACTTGTCACATTTGGGCAGCAATTTTGAACACAGTTATTGATTATTTGCCAGCATTTTATAATTGTACTAGGATATTTACCTTGTTTTCATATAACTATTGTTGTGGAACGATTTTGATAATTTTTGGCTCAAAATTATTATTATCTACACCTTCGCCACTGATCCCCCCCCCCCCATTTATAATGCATATTAATTAAAGTTTCGAAGAATATGAGCTTGAATGACGTAAAAGGTATTGTCATAAGGTAAGTCTATAACACCTGACAATTATTTTCCTATACTTCTTCATTTTTAAAATATTTGCCTGTCATTGGATTTCTGAATCACGTGGCTTATAGATAATATGATTTAACTGGCTGATGTTTGGGTTATATTTACACTACGAATATTTTAATTGGTGTTTATTATTCTTCTAATTATTTTTCTAACGCCATTTGATTTGTGCATGTAATCTCTTTAATTATTTGTTAAGAGTCATTTCTGTTGATAGAACCAGTTTTTTTGGGACTTGTCATGCCGTTAAGTCTTTCTTTAGGACTTGTTTTTTTTTTGTCTATGGTTATTTGTTATGTTAACCATATCTGTAGAACGAATTTAATTGATGCTTGCCATTTCCGTAATATTTTCTGGATAACCAGTTTGTCCTATTTAATCGTGTTTAATACCTCTGTAAAACAATTGTTCTTAATTCTTGTTTCCTCGTTAATAAATTTTATAGAATTAGTTTTGTTGATGCTCATTTTCTCGTTAATCAGTTCCGTTAAGATTAAAAGAACAAACCGTTTAAAAAGATTTTTTTCTTATGGTTTTTCGAAAGTTTTTATACCTATAATGTAAGTGATAAATTCAAGAAAAACGGATTAGAAACGTCAGTCTTAGATCACAGACATTTCTTCGGGTACCGAATAAAGAATCTATTGAAAAAGATTTGTTAAGAATTGACCGTTTTTTGGAAGTGAATTTTTATCTTATTCTATTCCAGAGCTGAAAGTTTTAAAAAAAACAACAAATTTTCGTAGTTTATCAGCTAACGTGTTTTTCATCAACAATGAAACGTGTGTTAGGTTTAGGACTCTTTGAGCGTTAATTTTGTGTGCTGTTGTTCTTTTGTATTATACACAGTTATATTAATGATAATATCAAACTTTAACGACTTTATTCACCAGAGCATCAACCAACAACTTGCAAACTGACACAACCATACATGCATACACAGAAGTAAACCAATATCTCATTATATTGTGGAGTTGTATCTCACCAGTAGAAGACGAGATACAGCAAAACAACAATTCACATAAAGGATATTTTGTTAGTAAGTATGAAAACTTTTGTAGAAAAGTTGTACAAAGAATTAGTCAGCGAAAGAAGAAATTTCCTAAAACTATTGTCATGCCATTATGTTGTTACTAGAAGAACCCAAATTAGATTATATTCCGATTTTTGTATGATCGTATTAAAGGGGGAGGGTGATGGTTGAATTTAGAAATGTTATACTACAGTTTCTTGTATATACTCGGCGAAAACGCATTTTCGAAAGTTTTTGTCACGTCATTATGTTGTTACTACAGGAGCCAAATTATATTATTGTCAGATTTTTGTACAATCATATTAGTATTAATTTTTGCCGTTAGGGGGATATTTAGAAAAATTATGTTGTGCCTAATATATTATCAATGTAGCCTTGGTTTACAACATGTGTTAAGAACTACCAAGAAAGTTTATTAAATTGTTATATATCTTTTAAATATAAATGAATACATTGAAATATAGCATTACACAAAATTATTCTATGCTATGGAAACTTACATAAATATTAACGAACAAACACGTACAGAACCAATGGAAATTTCCTAAATATTATACTCATGTAAATATAATGCAGGATAAAAAGATGGTAATGAGATAAATGCCAATAAACATTTAGGAATATAGAAATTCATGAAACCAGCAGTACGTGGAGCATTAAGACTGTAATCTCTGTGGTTGAAGCTCCTTTTCTTTCTGAACAACATAATTGGAGGGAGATTAAGCATGCAGTGCGTATATTATCTTGTGGGAGAAATTGGCCTTGTCAGCATGCTCGCTAACAGGACCGCGTAACTCAGCCAAACACAGGCAAAGGACCGAACAGATATACTCCAGATACTTTAGATTCTGGACTTCCAATAAACTCGGCGAAAAGCTCTTGGTAACGGCACAGATTGATTCCTCCTTTTCGTCGATCATCGACCTTAAGAGCAAACAAAAAATAAAAATTACTTAAATTTGCGGCGAACGGATACAAAGCATTGTTATAGTTAACAGTCTATACGACCACCTAAGCCTAATTGTTGGTGAGGCTAATTGAGTATTAGTAATACAAGAATGAATGAAAAAATATGTTAAAACTAGAAGTTATATACAATGAATTTCACTCAGAATTGTCATGTCAGCTCAAGCAATGTTGAATAAACTGGAGGTTTTACGTCTTTGCTTTAATTGTCATTGAATAATTTTACAGTTTTTTAGAACTTCTGTCTTCATCAACACCTGACGAAACTAAAAGTTCGAAATATAACATTCTTAATTAGGTATGATCGTTTTAAGTATCTATATTTGACGTCATCCAAAAGATCTGGACCAGGTTTTGGTTTCTACAATTTTTTTTTATTCTTAAATTTGTTTTCACAACTTTTGCATAAAAATAGTTAAATATCAAGTTTTTTTATTTATTATGAAACTCTTAACATTAATAATTCTAAAAACTTTAAAAACCGTCTTGAATTTCGTGCAAAACTACTTGAGCTAGCCACCCCTAATTTAGAAGCGATAGACAATTGAGGAAAGGCAGATAGCCAACACCACCCACCGACAATTCTAGGATTACTATTTCACTAACGAAAAGTGGAATTAACCGTCACATTACATAGAATTGAAACTCCTAACCCGTAGATTGCAAGTCGAGTTCCATAATCACCAGATAATGCTAGGCTTAAATGTTTTAAAAAAATATCAATATTCTTGCAGTTTGTAAAGCCATGAATAGCTTTATTAATATAGGATGTTTAAAACATGTATGTATTTGATATACATCCAAAATATATGCTCGAAGAACATCGTGTTAATTCGCACCAAGCAAACTTACGTAAATTTTGTAGAAGTTTTTCCCAAAGTTACAAGATGTTTCATTTATACAGAGTTGATTATCAACAGTGATGTAAAAAATGTAGATATTCCTCATGACTGTTGGTGAGAAGACTATCATTATTTTTTTAATTCTATAGCTAGAGCGTTATTCATTATTCTACAAATTTGATTTTCCTCGTTCTGAGTCTTGATCGTCTGGCACTGTGAATTTGAGTAACAACGTCGAAAAATCACAAGTTAAGATTATATGAATATTAAAAAGATTAATTTATTATTTAGTAAAAAATGTATATATTTATGTTTTTTCGAAAGACATAAACATTTGCGCACAATCCCAAATTTATATTTCAAGTGACACTTAAGTTGAACTTATCATTAGCATTTATAATTTACTACTACTAACAGTAGGACTGGGATTATTGGGTTTATTTAATTTATTTGCGAAACTTGCTTACTTCACTATAAGTGGCCAAAGACACGGAAATGTAGTATTACACAAAGTTATACTGTACTATAAAAATATGAACAGTACATAAATATTAACCGATAAACGCAGAAAGAATCGACAAAAATGTCCTAAGTATCATACTCTTATAAATATACGAAGATAAATGGCAATAAACATTTAGGGATAAAGAAATTCACGAAACCACACGTGGTGCATCAAGAGTGTAATCTTAAATAAATTCACGAAACCTCACGTGGTGCATCAAGAGTGTAATCTCTGTGGTTGAAGCTCTCTTTTCCTTTTTTCTCCACAACAAAATTGGAGGGAGATCAAGTGCGTGTATTATCTTTTGAGGAGAAATTAGCTTTGCGAGATGCTCGCTAACAGGACCGCGTAACTCGAAGAATTACAAGAAAAGGACCAAACAGATATATTCCTGGTACTTTTTAATCTGTCCCTCGGTGGGACAGCGGTAAGTTTATGGACTTACAACGCTAAAATCCGAAGTTCTATTTCCCACAGTGGATACAGCAGATATCCTAGTGTGGATTTCATCTAAAACAAATAAAATAACTTAATATTATGTTCTTTGTCGACATGCTCGCTAAAGAAACACGTGTAAAAATCCTTACATGGTAACGAAATTGGTGTAGTATTTGACACACACCTGAGCTAGTCTGAATAAGTTTTGTTCAGTTTTTCATACTTACATTAAGAAGTTTTTCAAAACACTCATCTATCTCTGTAATATTAGAAATAGCTGATCGCGAGACGTATTCTAAGCGGTATTCTTCCACAGTAATCAGCCCATCATCTGAAATAACAAACAAAAAAAAATATTCACGGTTATCAGCCCATCATCAGAAATATGGAATAAAACAAACTTTGCATTTATCAGTCCACACCTGAAACAGTTACATTCACGATTATTAATCCCATTATCTGAGACAGGTGGAAAAAAAATACACTTTACAGAGTTACCAGTCCATCACTTGAAATAGGATAAAATACTGAACAACAACCCAAAACCATTTTTTCTTCGTGTGGGGTATTTTACTTATGTACTTTAACATCAACCTGATGAATTCTGATCTTGGTCAAAATTGAACGTGTCATGAACTGTATGGTCTATAACTGAAGTTTGTACATAACGTGTAGATAAAGAATTGTCGAAAATAAAAGACAAGATAATATTACAAACAGATTTGTTGAGTTTATCTTCGTAGTTTCTAAATTAAAGTATGTCTGCTAATTAGCTGTAAGATTTGACGAACTTTGAAATAGAATGCTGTAGTTCTTTACTACGTTATTTCAGTAACACTGAGAATTAAAACTGACGGTTTTGTTAATAAATATAGACTTTTAATCAATATTATCTCAAACACACTGAATACTGTATACTGCAAGATTAAAGACACGTCTTTCATCCATAATATAACAAAATCTCTACCCCTTTTGTTTCTACTTACCTAAATGTTGGCTTCATTATAATAATCCTTTATGCGTTTATTATTGAGATGTGAAGATAAGTAAGCTGACCAGTTGAAACATAATTTGTTGATGAAACGTATTTAAAGGATATTATCGTATAGAAGTATTACACAATACATACAGTAAATGTAGCTTCAGATAGTTTGTACAATGCAGTTCGAAAGACCCAATAATCAGTACGGAGGTTAAGATGAGTTACATAGTTAGGGAACTCAACACTGAAAGTAATAGAGAGTTTGTTGAATCATCAGATGAGTACTCTCGCTATTAATAATGTTTCTTTTGTCTAAGCATAATGTTAAAATTAGGGATTCGATCCCTGTGGTAGGCACAGCTCAGACTTCGTCTGCTTGATTTTAGCGCAAAGCTACATTATGGGCATCCAATGCGAGGAGTCGAATCTCGAATTTTAGCGTTCTAACTCTTAAAAGACCATGGGACATAATTCATAAAGTCCTTGATGCGCTTAAAAACAGAAAGGCTACGATCTGTAATCTTGTGTCTACGATTTTGTGATTGTTATCTATGGCCTTTGTAATGAAAATATTAATATCCTCCTCCATGTTGTTTAAACTAAATGAATAAATTATATTGACGTAATTTGTTTCTCATAAACGATATGGCAAACAAAATTTGTCATACCAGATATTGAAAATAATAATTAAGAAAGTTATAAAGTTTGAACCATTTAACTACAAATGATAATTATAAAATACATTCAAGAAATAATGATAATAAAAATGATGTGGAAATAAGTATTACAAAGAGAACATTGTCCTCGTAACCCTAAAATGGCAACTTTAGCACTGTGATACCTTTTATTATTACTGGTTGCTCCACCTGGGAGAAAAATTCATTAGATGATAAGCATGTATACATTTTATAAGATTAATTCAGACGTGATATTTCGTAAATTTCGAATCTGTTTTACATGTTACGGTCTTTTTTATTAATCCACACAACACAAAGGCCGATCATCCTCAATGAGATACAGAAAGAACGATAGTATTTTGTTTATTGGGTGTCTAGTGAGATTTATTGTGGGAGATATAGAAATAAGCTGTTTAACAATATTGTTTTTTATCGTGAAAAATGCAGAATTTCTTATGCTGGTTCCATCACAGTTGGAAACACGAATGTAAAATCTACAAATCTCATCAGCGTGGTTACATTTATTTAGATTGCGATATCCCTGTATCAAATCATAGAGCCCGGCATGCCCAGGTGGTTAGGGTTTTCGACTCGCAATCTGAGAGTCGCGGGTTCGAATCCTCGTCCCACCAAACATGCTCGCCCTTTCAGCCGTGGGAGCGTTATAATGTGACGGTCAATCCCACTATTCGTTGGTAAAAGAGTAGCCCAAGAGTTGGCGGTGGGTGGTGATGACTAGCTACCTTCCCTCTAGTCTTACACTGCTAAATTAGGGACGGCTAGCGCAGATAGCCCTCGTGTAGCTTTACGCGAAATTCAAAACAAACAAAAAAAAAACAAACAAAACAATCATTACCCATTCAAGCCGTTTCCAACCAT